AGGCCACCTCTTTTATTCTCAGTGTTACTAACTCTCACAAATTTATAATAAGTAACATGATTTTGGCTCCTGCTTCAAGGCATTAGATGAAAAGCTCTAGTCTTCCCATGACTTACGAGAAACAAAATCAGAGAAAGACTTTTCCCTACTGGTGCTTTGTAATCCAGGGGAATGTACAAGTTTATAAACCGTGAACTCTCATCCACCTCTTTTGCTGTTAATGGGCCCTTCACAACCCTTATTCTGAACCCAAAACGTCATACTGTTACCTTGGGGAATAAGAGATGCGGGGAGTGGGAGGAGAGAATTACTATCATTCACCCATTTCACAGATGAGCAACTTGCATAAAATCTGTTCTGGCATTTCTGGTAATTGAACCCATGTCTCCAATCTGATGAACCCAGGTCTGATCCACTTTGTCACATAATCTTACAGAAAAAAATTAAATTAGGTGTTTCTGAGACCCGCACTAACCCCCTCTGGTTCTGTCACCTCTGGTGGAGAGGCCACGTGTTAAGAATTAATGATTCTGCTATTGCTTCAGTGCTAAAAAAGTCTAGTTTATTAGCCTGAGGCTCATGCTTTTTAAATCCGGAGGCCCCATGCTCAGTCCCAGCAGAAGACCCAAACAGAGGGGTTGTTATATTTGGTTATGCTGCTTATAGCCAATAGATCTGAAGGCTGTTTATCAAACCCTGCTGGTGACCCATGTGGGGATGAAAAAATATACACACACACATGCATAAAAGTTAATGTGAGGAACCTGAAGTAATTGTTGGAATGATTTCATATTGCAAAAAGTATTTAGAAGTGAATTTGGGTGTTGTGCTAATATTTTTCTTGTTGTGTTTTTAGTGTTTATATTTTGGGTAATGGGAGCTATCCCTTTAAGAGCAGGAGGTGGCAACTTATTATAGAGTGTTTGAGACTGAGTGCAATGTAAGGGAGAAATTTTGCCTATCTCCAGAGAATGGAAGAACCTGCCTGTGTAAGCTCCAAAAAGGTCAGCATGTGATTTAATAAGCTTATCTTACCAGAAAGCAAGCCTCATTCTCTAAGGTGTGGTGTTAGCATTTACTGGGCACTTTCTGGCCTCAGGACATTGCTAATGAGATATAAAGCTTTTCACCTGTAGTTCACTAGTTTGAATCAGGTTCAGCTCAGCAGAGATTAACAGTTACTCCCATCTAATGGAAGTTTCATACCACTAAACGATTTGAGTTGCCTGGTCCTAGTGCCAGCTCCCACGTGACAAATTCATCACCATGCTTTGCACTAGATTGTATGTTCTTTCAGGCAGGGACTACCTCTAGCACAATAGGACCCTGGTTTTGTTTGGGTCTTCTAATGAGAGGTCCCGCAGCAGGGGCCAGAATTGGATTACTCTTGATAAACTTGTCAAAGAGGACAACACTGTAATTGTGTCTCTCACATTGGAGACAGAGAGGATGATTTTAAAAAAAATCAGAAATCTATGATTTAACCTTTGGCTCAAAAATTGAGATGATGGTGCCAGTTTGTTTTTGTTACCTCATAGTCTTTGAGGTCTGATTTATTATTTTTGAACTCTGGGGATGGCAGTACTACATTCCAGAAAATAAGGCTGTGTTTGCGTTAGTTGCTCCACTAGCATCAAAGCCAAATGAGACTCATAAAAGTGGCAAATTTACAGCCAATTTACTTAGCTTCCCTACTTTCCAGTATTGTTGTACCCAGTCTAGTATTAAGCAGCTGGTGTGCTGTAACTGCTGTGATCATTGCTTATTCTGCTGTTCATAACTATCTTACTGTTCCCTTGTGCTCCTCCCATCTGTTTGTTTTATCCACCTGTTGAGTCGTCTTGTTTTAAATTTAGATTGTGATCATCTTGTGGCAAGACACCTCCTAGCATTTCCCCCTCTGGCAGTGCTGGGGGCTGTCGTAAATAAGCCCCACTCTGTATAGTGGGTGTCTTCCTCCTCTGTTGTTCTCTTGTCAGTATTTTCAAGGTAGGCCTCAGGGCAGGCACAAGGAGTGCTCCTCCAGCAAACAAAAAGAAACCAATTTTCAAACACAAAACAAAGGGGGACATTTTCCCTGTCCCCTCGCTGGGCATGGGGGTGCAGTGTTGTTGGCCTGTTAGCTGAGGTGTCGGTCCTTCCCCTAAACAGGGCACTCAGTTTTGGTTGTTTCCCCTATCGGAAGGAGAACTGCCTCTCACCCCAGAGAAGCCTATATCCCTGCTGCCACTAGCCCTGCAGCAGCTTGTCTCTCCTCTCCTTCTCTGGCCAAAGGAAGGGTTTTTAAAGGTCTCAGGCAGCCCTTTACTGGGTTCAGATGTCCCTATTTGTCCTGAGGTGTAACCCCTTTCCAGCTTATAGGAAAAAGGGCCTTTATCATTCTAAGGCTAACATATCTGCCTTCCACCACTCTCTTGCACCCCTACCCGTGAGCCCTTCCCCCCAGCCATCATACCTGGAGCCGGCTGTGCGATCTGCAGTCAGTTCGCTTTCAAACCATGCCAAAGGCACATACGTACACATTCATGCTCCATACTCTCCATTTCCTCACCCTCGTGTCCCACCCCAATACTAAGTGGCGGGACCTATTGCCATCTGTTGAGGGTAAGGAACCCCGGTGGGCCAGTCTGTATTCCAGTTGGTGCCTCCCTCGTGGAGCTGTGAGCACAGGCATATACCTGGTGCGGTTCACCTCTATACCTGATGCCTGTTCCTTTTGCTGCGTGAGGGAGACCCAGGCATACATCTACCTTGAGTGTGTCTGGTTGCCGCCCCTTTTCCGGCTCCTCCTGGACCTGCTTTTGCAGTTCTGGCAGCACTTCTCCCCCAACCTTCTAATTTATGCACACCCCATCCATGACCCCATGAAATTGTGAGACCACCTCGTCAACCTCCTCCTAACGGCCAAAGTGGTCATTCATAACACCTGGAAGAGCATGTTGGCCGAGGGCGTGCTCTGTGGGGCCTATTTCCATTCCTCTCTCCATTCACCTATCCGGGCAGAGTTCCTCTGGGCCGCATCTGCTGGCTTCCTTGACACCTTTGAGGAGCAGTGGGTGCAGTCCGGAGTTCTCTGCTCGGTGTCCCATTCAGGTTCCGTACTTTTGACCCTTTGACCTTCACACCTGTACTTGTTTTCTCTTTTGTTGTCCCCCGTATTTATGTGAGTCCCAGGGTCAGGAGCTCCCCCCCTTAGGCTGGGGGAGGAGCCATTAGCTATGGGCAGGCTTGCACTCCCTGGAATCAAACAGGACCACTCTCTTGCAGTTGCCTAGTCTGACTTTGTCCCAATCTGATTTGGACAGGAACTGTTTCTGTTCTGTTTGTATGGTGCCTACTACAGAGCCTTAGGCTCTAGGCAACCAGAATACCAATAATAAGTAGTAATAAACTGTGGAAGGAGGGAATATGTTTTTTCAGTGTTTGGACTATAACCTGACAGCAAACAGAGTTTTGATCATCTGCTAAAACATTGAATGACTCACTCACATCTCTAGATATGTTAACGAGTATTGGAACATCGATATGAAGCTAACCTTTCTATGATTAGGTTCCTAGTACCTGTTAGTTTGGGACACCTTCCTGCAAATCACTCCTTAAAATTTGTTTCTCCTAGAAATCTTTCCTGTCTTTTTCTTCTCATCAGTATCACACCCTTGGCTATCTCCCATGATTTAAGTTTTGTTTTGAGGTTCTTTCATTATAATCTCTCAGGAGGAGGTTCAGTGCCTTAGTCTAGACTTTGGAGAGAATACTGCTTCCACAGTATGGAGACGTAGACTAACACTACTCCGCCAGTGGAACTTATGTGGGTTGACATGGAGAGGCATGAGGAGATGCATATATCTGAAGTAATTAGGGATATGCTTTCTGACCACAATGATGCAAGCACATAGAATATAGCATGGTAGGACCTTTTGGCTGGGAGCACAGTATCACTATAATAATTCATGCGTCAGTTGATGTAGTTGCAGGCTACTACCTTGAAATTCAAATTCATCTCTGCATTTTATGTGGGAAGAGGTCACGTGTATAAAAATATTTTTCTCTATATAAAAGACTACTTCTTTTGGGTTGGATCTAATAACAATGTCCATATCTTCAAATACCCTGTGTAAGGCAGAGACTATATTTCAGACAAAGACCTTAGAGACTAGAAAATGTGCTTCACAGTGGTTCCTAATAATGTTTCATCCATGAAATGGGACAGAAATATAGCCACTGAAATAAAGAACGTTGTTTTGTGCAAGTTAAATTTTTCCTGAAAAAGTAAGCTAGGCTATTTTATTTATACCTCACAAATTGTGTGCTAGCCATCACCAAAAAGGTGGGAAAGATGCAAGGGAGTTTTCTAATTTAACATACAATATACTAGTATAGGAGATGAATGGGGAATCAAAAAGAAGAAAGGACAAATGAATAGACAGTGATGTTTATTGCATCTTATTAACTTCCATTGAGTTTTTTAGTTTTTTTTATAGTCTGTTTTATTAAGAACTCTTGTTTGAATGGAGAAATACTGGTTATAAACTATTGTAGACAATGTGTTTTTAACTGGCATGGATCTATTATTTTATTGAACTGGCAATTTCTCTGATTATATAGGATTAGTCTTTCATGCAAGTAATGCCACAATCAGGTTAGAATTAAAAAAACAAAGCAAAACCCTTCTGTATAGTGTTCCGTCCAACTGGTATAACTTTGATGGCTTGGTTATTGTTAGCCCATATTAGATTTTCATTGCCTAACATTTGATGTTTCTGTGTCTCTCTAAAAACTGTGATTAGTTTTTCATTGAAAAGGAAACATTATCACATCAGGAATTTTGGTTCTACATAATATAATTCTGAAAAGTTTGTGTTATTTGCAGATGCTAACTTTCGTGTAGTTAGCACAGTACTCAATCTACTGCAGGAAATGCAATCCCTTGAAAATGCTGCTGTCACAAAGAGCAGGTACATATAGTACATTTAAAAGGTGGTGTTTTTTGTTTCTTCCAGAAGGTCCTCGGCCATCACAGAAAGAAATCATATCACTACGAGCATTTATGCTTCTGTTTTTGAAACAGCTTATATTGAAGGTAAAATAATCTTATTTGAGAATGTTAGCAATTTGATAAATGTAACAAACTTGAAGGTCCAAAGTAGATATTGAGTAGTTTCTAATGAAGCACTAGATGCATAATTCCTGGCAATTATTTTGTCTAAACCTTATTAATATTATTAATTGGTCTGTGCCAATAATACTTCTTAACCCCCCCCAAAAAAACAAAACAGAACAAAACAACCCACACCTACAATGAATGAACTTTTAGGATATTTCATATCAGTCATACTACATTGCTTTTATATCTGTTTCAACACATTTATTTTTAGACCAAAAAGGTACAGACTCCTAACTTGCTCTATAGAGTCCTTTAAAGCATTTGGGCCAGATTCTCTACTCTGGGGCACTGTGGTAGAGATCTAATTGGTACAAGAAGGGGAGAGGTCAGTCAGGAAGTTACTTACAGCTTCTTGATTCTGTCTGGCCCTGGTGCAGTTTAGAGTAGTCTTTGAGCTGCTCTTATGTGTCCCAGATGACACATTGTAAGCAGTGGATCATCTGTCATTTGAGAATAACCAGGGTGCAAGGTTCAGTGTGTTCTGCCTAGGGTTACCATTCGTCCGGATTTACCTGGACATGTCCTGCTTTTTGTGTTAAAAATAGCGTCCGGGGGGGAATTTGTAAATCACTAAAAATGTCTGGGATTTCCCCCCCATGCAGAGCTGGGAGGGCTGCAGGAAATTCAGCCGCTCGCATGGGGCTCTGGCAGCCAGAGCCCTTCCCCCGCAGCTTGCCGGGCTGGACTCCGGAGCAGCTGTAGAGCTGCTCCTCCCCGCCTCCCCCTCCCCCGCATTCTGAGCCGGCCGGCCTGCCGGGCCGTTTGCATCGGGCCTCGGCCGCTCCTCCTCCCCTGCTGCCCAGCGCCCTGCTCAGGCAGCACTGGGTGGGGTGGGACCGGGTTGTGTGTTGCGCTGGGGAGCGCAGCCACGTGTCCGGCTCCGCACAGAGCCCAACACCATGTTCTGAGCGGCAGGGCAAGGGGGCCAGGGGGCAGGAGAAGGGGCAGGGAGATTTTGGAGGGGGCAGTCAAGAGACGAGGGGGGGGTCGGGAGTTCGGGGGGGGTGGAGAAGGTTTTGGGCAGTCAGGGTACAGGTAGGGGGTAGGGTCCTGGGGGGCAGTTAGGGTGGGGGGTCTTAGGAGGGGGCAGTTAGGGGACAAGGAACAGGGAAGCTTAGGTAGGGGGTGGGGTTCTGGAGGGCAGTTAGGAGCAGGGGTCCCAGGAGGGGGCAGTCAGGGGACA